GGAAGCTGAGGAGGAGCCCAGATCGGGAGGGATGGGGTCCTTGTCGGACTGAGATGAGGACAAAAGGAAAGGCTGTTCCAGTGCCCACCATGCACGCAGAGGCTCTGGGCCAAGGAGGCAGGAGCAGATGCCCCGGCCCACTCCAGTGTCTCCAGCCCCAGGACCCCCTGAGCACCATGGGAAGCTTCTGGAAGGGCTGACAGAACTTGGGCAGCAGAAAGGGAGCTCTCAGCACAAGCCTGGGACAAGCCCTCGATTACTCAGTGCACACTCACTAAGGCTTTACCTTGTGCTCAGAGTGCTATGTGCTGGGGGCGACAGGACACGGTCCCTGCCCTCAAGATCAAGGCCAAGCATGTATGGAGCACATAGGACGTGCCAGGCCTTGAACTAAACATTTGACCTAAGTTGACTCATTTGTTCCTTACAACTCTGGGAGGCAGGAACTAACATTAGTCACAGTTTACAAAAGAGGAAACTGAGACACAGAGAGCTTAAGCAAGCTGCTCATCGTCCCACAGCCACTAAGCAGTGGAGCTGGCATTTAAACCCAGGCAGTCTGCACAGTCTCCAGGCTCTAGCATCCAAATACCCACTGCTCGTACCACGTGCCAGGCTGCCTACACACTTGCCCATTTAGCAGTGGGCGCAGAGTTAAGCCTTGCACTCTGAGCCAGGCTACCTGGATTCACATCTGGGCTCTGTTGATCCCAGCTGTGTGACTTGGACAAATAGCTAACCCCTTCTGTAAGTGGGGAGAAAAATCAAATCTAGCTTAGAGGGTTGTTGTGATGATTAAAAATTAATAACATAAAGTGCTTAGAATAGTACCTGACACACAGTAAGAGCTATAGAGTATTATTATCGTTAATCCTCAAAACCAACTGTGTATAGATTATTACACCCATTTCATGGATAAGGCTCCCCAGCTAGAACAGGGCCAGTCACTTGCACCAGAACACAGAGCTAGGATTCAAACGCACATGCTCTTAACCTTGAGCCTCACTGCTTGGGGTGGGGACGAGAGAGTGATTCACCTGGTCCCCCATCAACTCCAGGGGTTCCCTCTGCCCCCCCACCCCAGAGCAGCCCCAGCCCCTGAGCATTCGGGCTGAGATAAAAATGAGAAGTCTAGAGAGCCTTCAAATCCCCTTCCCTGGTCTGGCGGGGGGAGGGAGGGAGCCAGTCTGGGAAGACCGAACAGTCTTCCAAAAGCAGCAACTATAAACAGGACACTGTCACCCCACACCCTCAGTCTTTCCCCTCAGCTGAGCAGGGCCAGACTGGCCCCAGTCAGCTGCCTCCACAAATACATAAACACATAAATCCTGCGGGAGAGCTGGCAAGGCCACAGAAGGAAAGGCAGATACCAAGACCGGAGGGGAAGACGACAGCTCCGCTTGGGACCCCACGGAGGTGGAGGGAGGATATGGGGTCCCAGCACTGGGCACCTGCAGACGCAGCGGCTCCCTGAGGTCCAGTGACTGGGCAGGGAGGAAGAGGCACAGGCCAGGGAGACGCACGGTGTGTTACAGCAACCTAGGACTGACTGTGAGAGGAGGCGAGAGAGGACAGTGGGGTTTGGGGGGTGCTTGGGACAGGGGGTACCTAGCATGGGCCAGCACGCCCTATGAATGAGTGCTGGGTTTTGGCCCACAGATATTTGGGAGAGAGCAGGGCAGAGCCTGCCTCTCCACATGGTTCTGGGACTAGACTTCGTTCTTGGCAGTGAAGAGATGTCAACCCCCATCTCCCACCGGCGGGGGGAGGCACCCCCACATGTGAAAAGCTGCTAGGACAGTCATGAACATTCCCCAGCACTGGCAGTCTCTGTTCCAGCCAGGAGGGCAACTGCGGGGTGGGGTGAGGGAGATGCAACTCCACGGGGGGGGGGGGGGGCAGCGGGAGCCAGGAGACCCACATTCTACAGAGCTCTGGGCCCAGCGCACAGGGCCAACGCCCACGGCCCACGTGGTTCTCATTAGGCTTATTAGCTGCCAAATCGCAGCCAGCACACGGCATAGGGACCAGTGGGCAAGCTGATTCCCTCCAGGAGAGCTGCCGGCCTGCGGGCCTGGGTCAGGGTGGGCGACCAGAAGAGTGGCAGGGTGAGAGCGCCAGGGAGAGAAATAACTGGGGAGGGGTATTGGCAACATCCTGGAGCAGGGCCCCAGGGGTTCGAGGCCCACACACATGCTTGTACTGTGACAATCGGCAGACTCACCCAACCTCAAGTTTCCAGGGTTGAAACTCCGGTTTGGCAAAGAGTGATGTTGGAAAATCACAAGCAAGTTAGGAAACCAAGAACCTCCGGGGTTCCAGGTGGAGCCCATGCCCAGACCCTTCACGCAGCTGGGGAGAAGCCCACCCCTCCATCCCCCCCACCCCCCGTGGAGCCACCTGCTCCAGCTGCAGCTCAAACGCAGCAACGCTCTGTCAGCCTGCGCTGCCTCCCAGCAGAGGCTCGGCTCCACAGAACCCCCCAACCCTCCTCCACATCTCCAGCTCCAAATCCCTTTCCAGGCCTCAAAGTGGTCCCTGGACCAGCAGCATCGGCATCCCGAGAGCTCGTTAGAAACACGGAATATCCAGCCCCGCCCGAACCTGCTGTATCAGAATCTGCTAAGATCCCCGGAGGATTTGTGGGAACATTCAAATTGGAGGAGAGCCCTCAACGCAGATCTTCCCATGATTGACCCCCAAACTAGGCTCAGTGATTTTCAGCCACAGCTAGAATCACCTAGGGTGCTTCAGAACAAAAATACCAGCGCCAGGGCCCTGCCCCCAGAGCTTCAGCTTAGCATAGAGCCACCTGGCCACCCACATCCCAGGCCTCTCTCCCCAGAGGAGTTGCTCAGAGCTGATTTTGAGTCTCAGCCTTTCCTCGAAAGAGCCGTGTGACCCTGAGCCAGTTACCACCTCCCCGAGGCACACTTTCTTCATCTTTAAAATTATGAGGGAAAAATAGCCCTGCGCCTAGCCATAGAGGGTCTGTCCTCTGAAAGCCCCCACTTCCCTAGGCTCCCCAGAAAGGACAGGGTGTTCGGGCAGAAGATCTGCTTTATTGTTTGTTGTTGAGTTTTGGATTTCGGTTTGTTTATCTGGAGGTTCTGCCTGAGCTGCACCTTCAGGCAGGCAGAGGGTCAGGGCCATGAGGCCGGAGCTTGGGGAGCCAGCATCTCCATCTCCAAGGGAAAGGGGCGTCCCATCACATCCCCATCCTGGGGGTGTCGGGAGAGCCAGACGAGGGCATCCACCGTGCTGGGAACACCACGAGCTTTGTCATACGCCTGGACCACTAGCCGTGAAACCCTCTCGCTGAGAAGGGCCTGGTCCTTGGGGAAGGAAGGGGAGCTGGTGAAACTGAGGCTTTGCAGCCGGCTGGGGCCTGGCAGTGGCAGTGGCAGCTACAGGAGGGACAGTCGGGAAGAGTTCCTAAGGAGCTGATGTGTGGGGTATGAAAGAGGAAGATCCAAGGGGCTCCTCAAACCCCCAAATCTGCTATTGGCCGTGGGGATTTCACACTTTGGAATGTCTGCCTCACTTGGTGTTGGGAGAGGATAAAGACGCAGAGATCAGAGCCTGGAGTTCTGGAATGAGACTGCCTCAGCTCCAGCACTTGCAGCAGTGCAGCCATGGTCTAGAGCTGCAGTTTCCTCCTCTGTAAGCAGGGATGATAAGTAAATATCCACGACTACTGAGGGGTCTAACTGAGATAATGTATGTCAAAAGCTTAGCATGGTGTTGGGCCATAGGGCAGAGTCGTTAGCTAGCAGTAGTGTTAGTATAGTAGTGTACTGTCACCCCCAGCTCACAGACGTGGAGAGTGAGGCCCAGAAAGGTAAGGTAAGATACCTGGTAGGAAAGAATAGATATTAAGAAGTGGGGCCCTGGAGTCAGGTTATCTAGGTTCAAATATTAGCTCTGCATTTCCTGGCTGTGTGACCTTGGGCAAGTTACCTATCTGTCCTTCAGTTTCCTCATCCACCAAAGGGACAGTGATACTCCCTGTTCAGAGGATAAAGCGCACCTTGCACAAAGTGAGTGCTAAATAGGTATTGGCTCTTGTCCAGAGTATTGTTGTTACTGCCTCTGATGCTATCAGTAGAAGGCTCTGGCAAGGAGGCCCCGACTCTTCCTGTTTCATTCCTTGGTTTCCATGTGGCTAAGATGACTGTTCTCTCTTTTATCTCATTTGAGGCAGCCTGCCAGGCTTCAGAGCAGCCCAAGGGAAGACTGCTCCAGACACAGGGTCAGAGCCTTATCTGCCCATCAGATGCATTTGATACACCATCAGATACTGGTACACCAGTGGAGCACCCGACAGAGATCAGGACATTCGGGCCAGGGACCAGGGCAGAGTTGGGGTCATGTTGCACACTATGTGAATGGTGCCCCTGGAAATGTGTGGTGTAGAGGCTCTGGGCCAGGTGTGTTCTGCAAACCGCAGGGATGTGTGGGCACCTGAGACCCTGCAGGTATAGTGGGCACCAACACAGTGAGGAAGCAGGAGGGAATGAAGGGAGCTTTAAAAACACGAGCAGGAGGCCAGGCACAGTGGCTCACGCCTGTAATCCTAGCACTCTGGGAGGCCAAGGCGGGAGAATCGCTTGAGCTCAGGACTTAGAGACCAGCCTGAGCAAGAATGAGACCCCATCTCTACTAAAAATAGTAAAAATTAGCAGGGCATGGTGATGCACACAGGAGGATCACTTGAGCTTAGGAATTTGAGGTTGCTGTGAGCTAGGCTGATGCCACAGCCCTCTAGCCTAGGTGATAAAGTGAGACTCTCTCTAAAAAAAAACCATGAGCAAGGATGTGATTTGAAAAGCTGTTTCCAGCTGGAGGCATTTGCATTTTTAAATCTCCTCCTTTCCACTGCACATCATGTCCACTCCAGAGGAAGGTTGCATCCTCAGGAGGCAGATGGGTGAGGATGCTTCTGCTCCAGGTTCTGGAGTCCTTGAACCCGACCCACCTCATGGGGGGGGGGCACTCACGTTTGATACAGTGGTTGGTGCTGTTTGCTGTGGTCCATCCCGGGCAGCACTGTCCCCCGCAGACGTTCCTCCTGTGGGGTCAGCACAAGGATGCTCAGAGCTGGGACTACTCACAGGGCCCCCCTGATGGTCCCACCCTCTACAAGCAGGGCCTGGGAGAACACTGCAGGCCTGGAAGATGGTCCCCATTCTCTCTAGGGAGGTCACATGCGATCATGCAGGGCTACTAGGGGACAGGCACTTTGGAATCACACAAATTTAAGATTGAATCCTGACTCTGCCATTCTCTGCATGCCCTTGGGAAATGTCACCCTCTCTCCACTTGTACAATGGGGATAATAATACCTCCCTAACTGGGTTCTTCCCGTGATTAAAGCCCCTGACACAGGAAGGAAGTCCTCTGGGGCAACAATGGCCCCTATCATAAGGATGATAAGCCAGTTTGGAGAGGTTCAGGCAGCACCCGCTGGTTTCACCCAGCCCTGCCTCTCTACTTGAAGACCCAAATGCCAGACCAGGGTGACTCCCTGGATGGGCTCCTCCTGGAGACCTCTGAGGACTGTCTCCTTGGCACAGGCTGGGCCTAGCTTGGGCTCCAGGGACCCTGTCATTATCATCAGAAATTGTCCACTGAGCGCTCACTGAAACTGGGTGGGGGGTGGGCGGTGGGGAGGGAAGACACAGAAGCCAGAGAGGCGAAGGACAGAGCATGGCGGCCATTCCTGTGATCTCTGTGGCCAGCACGGCGACATCTGGTCCCACTTAGGAGTTTGTTTGACATTTGAGTGGACCCCAAAGCTTGTGTGGGTTTTGGAGCCTTACAAAGAATTCAAAATAAATTCCTGCAGCTTGAAAAAGCTGAGACCCGTTCCTGGCCCTTTGGCCCAAAGTTGTAGGGAGCTGCCTCCCTCCCAGGGAGTTTCCAGATTGTCCTGCTGGCCAAGAGCTGTGCCACTTGGGCCACCTTGAAGCCTCTCTGGGCCGCCACCTTTAGCAGCTTCCTGGCTCCATGACGGCCTCCTCCCATCAGGGCCCACGTCCCCGGGGGCGGGGGAGGGTTTCTGAGTGTGTGCCCTGGTGAAAGCGGAAAACTACCCCCCATGTCTAAGTCACTACCCCTTGTGGTGGTGGCAAGGCCTCTTAGGAGGGCTGGGAGGTTTTTGAGAGGAAACAGACTACATGCCATGGGAGTTTTCTAAGAACTAGGGCCTGTGGGAACCCAGACAGCACGGAGTGAGGGGCTTGCTCGGCTGGGAGGTCATGGCACGGAGCCCAGGGAGCCCCACTGAGCCAGCTGTCACTCCAGCTGCCCTCAGAGTGGCTTTGCAGCTGACTGTAGGAAGGGCAGTGGCTGGGTCTGCCTTGCCCGTCCATAGTGGAGCTGGAGGGATGTTCAGGCCACAGTGAGGACTGGCCAGAATCAAAGGCCACCACGCAGAGGAGCCGGGCTAAGGCTGGGCGGGCACACAAGAGCAATGCAGGTACCCAGTGAAATCATCTGAGGGTCCTTTCTAGTCCAATATTAAAGTCTTAGGTACAGGCCCAGGGAGGTGACTAGTGGGGAATTGTCCCTTCAGTGGGCTCTGGCAAGCAGAGAGAAAAAATGAGCCCGTATATCTAGGCCATATGATTCAATGGCTCTGACTCCCTGGAAGGCACCACTCAGAGATCACATGACCCCAATCTTCCAGGTGACACTACTCAGCAATATCCAGCATCACTATGGGGGACATGTCTGGCTCAAAGCCTGGGGCAGCTGCTGTTACACCTGGGATAAATCCGATCATACTAGTCCTTTGTTTAAAAAAATCTCTCACAGTTCCTCATTGACATCTACAAAGCCACCTGGCCCCCACCTGCCTGTGCAGTGTAATCACCCCATCACCCCACCCTCACCTCCATAACCATCCACAACCAAAGCTGTGCTCCTCCAAGCATGCAAGGTTGCAGTCCCCCAAGTGCACCAACGGATGTCACACGTTGGTGCCTTTGCTTATGCTGCTCTCTCTGCCTAGAATCCTTCCCTCTCATTTGTCAATGAAATCCTTTGCATTCTCCAAGACTTCCAGATCAAATGCTACCTTCTTTGTATAAAACCTACCCTGACATCTACTCAGCTTTCCCTATTCTCCACCTGCTGCAATCATTTAGTACCAGTTGTCTCAGGTTGTTAGTTGTGTCTCAGTCTTGGTTACTTGAGGGTTCTTCCTTATTTCTCTTTGTGCCTCTAGAGTCTAACACAGCGCCTGACGCATGGCATATATTTAATACTTCTTTGTGTTGCTTAATCCAGTGTTTCCCAAAGAGTGGGATGACCAACACAGAGGGTAGGAAAGGGGACTTTAGCTTTACATTGATCCCAGCGTTCAACAATCCGAGTCACATGGTGAGGAAGTGATTCCCTTTTCTGTGATCTTTTTAACCTGATGAGGTCAGTGAAAAAGTCTTTCTGATGCTGGGCCCTCCTGCCAGGTCCTGCCGCAACCCTTGCTAGTCCTCCATTGCAACAGAGATAACACATTGCAGAACTGAGCTTGCTAAGATGAGGAATGGTGTCTGACTAGAACTTAAGAACATTGTGTTTTCATTTCCATTTTCCTGCAGTTATCTTCTCTTTATGATAAGTGGTACTACTTTTAACTTATGATAATGATAAAACATTTCCTTTTAGTTAAGAATTTATTTATGGAGAAAAGTGAGTCAAGCACTGTTTGTAATAGCAAAAAAATGAAATTCATCTAAATATCCAAAAACAGGAGGATGGATAAATAAACTGTGGTATATTCAGACAAAGGAATAATATACAACAGTTAAAATGAATAAACTGGAGCTAATTATATTAACATGGTTCAATATCAAAAATCTAATGAGAAGTAAAACAAATTGTAGAAGATAATGCAATATGGTATCACTTATCTAAGTTTAAGATGCATAAAAGCCAGGCTGGGCACAGAGGCTCATGCCTATAACCCCAGCACTTTGGAAGGCCACGGTGGGAGGATTGCTTGAGGCCAAAAGGTCATGACCAGCCTGGGCTACAGAGTGAGACACTGTCTCTAAAAAAAAAAAAAAAAATTTTTTTTTTTAATTAGCTTGGTTGTGGTGGTGTGTGCTTGTAGTCCCAGCTACTCAGGAGGCTGAGGCAGGAGGCTCATTTGAGCCCAGGAGTTGGAGGCTGCAGTGAGCTATGATGATGCCAATGCACTCTAGCCCAGGCAACAGAGTGAGACCCTGTCTTGAAAAAAAAAACCAAAAAAACGCAAAAATAATTTTGTGTATTTTATAGATACATGCATCTGTAGTAATAGTGTGAAAGCATGCATTGGAATTAATTAAATTCAGGGTAGAGAGGAAAGAAGGACGCAAATTTATAGAGGAAATTTCAGCTAAAATATTAGAAGCAAAATATGCCAAAATATTAAGGTTTGATAAAGCTGGATTATAAGTTATATTATGTTCAATATCTTTTTGTATGTTTGTAAAACTTCATAATATACTTTAAAATAGATAAAAAAAAATCCTGTTAAAAATTTTAACAGAATATAAACTTAAAGAAAAATAACAGAACAAGAGGGAAAAGTTAGAAGAAAATGTTATGAAGATGGTATGCTGTAAGGCTGGTTCAAGAAACACTGAAGATTGGGAAGTGATGACTTAATAAGTCCCCTGTAGACTGTAAATTTCATTAGTGCAGGAACCATGTCTGATTTGGTCTGCTGTATCCCAGACACCTAGCACACCTGGCATATACTTAATAAATCTTAATCGTGTGCAATAAATCACCACTACACTGAAAGTTCCATGAGGACAGAGGCTGTCTTTCTTGGCCACTGTTGTATCCCCAGGGTCCAGCATAGTCACTGGGTATACCAGGCCTTCCATAAGTATTTGTTGAATGAAGAATTCCCATTAGTAGTGATGCAGTTCCAAGATTCACCAGCAGGTGGCACTTGGTCCTTGGCTCTGAGCAGCTCACAAGGCAATGGCCAGAGTGGTCAGTCTAGCCAGAAACCATCAGCCAGAACAGACCAGGGTGGAGAGAGCCAATGAATAAGACTATCACTCAGCCCCTCCCCAACTGACATGGAGTGGCTGACTGCAGTGCCAGGGGAACCCACTCTGTATCAAAGCTGCAGAAGACAATCTGGGTGAGGAGTCCATCCCAGCGTGTCATGTGATGTGTGCACCTGTGTACAGCAGGTAGCACTCAGCCCATGCCCTCACACACCTGTGTGCATCTACCAGCCTTGCTGTGGTGACAATCTGCTTTGCTCATCACCACCTCATTTCATGACTTCTAATAGTACAACCTCCAACCCCCACTCTCCACTTCTCCACCTTCCCTTCCCCCACTTGTACCTGGCTGTATACAGTACAAGCTCCTCTGTGATCCAACCCAACCTATGTCTCCAGCCTCAGCCCCATGGCTACCCTAAACCAGAGCTGCAGTCCTAACCATGAGACAGTGTCAACAGTGAAAAGCATTGCTTGTCCTTGAGCAATGCAACACCTGCACGCCACCCTGATCTCTGGGCCCTTTCCCTGCCACCTCCCCTCTGCTTCTCCACATACTGCCCATTGAACCTCAGGGGACCAGGTCACGGGGCCCTCCTTTCCTCTGAGCTCTTCAGCCCAACTGTCACACTCCTTTGCACTGAACATGAAGTTTCCAGTCCTAGAAAGCACGATTACCAGTACACATCTGTTCATTTCTTCAATTTGATTTTAAGTAATGGAGTTCTTCTCCCAGCAGGAACAATGCCTGGATCCCTGGGCCCTCATGCCCTCTCCCATGCTCTGCACACACTTGCTGAGGAAGCATGCATTCACTTGCACAAGCAGGACAGGAAACAGCCGACACACAGCAGGTGCTCCACTAATGCTTGTTGAATGATCCTATGCGTAAGCGACTTGGCAGCACATGGGTCTACGCTCTGCCTGCTTGAAGCTGGACCTTCCACAAGCAGCAGGGAGTTCATTCACCACTTTGACAGATACCTAGCAAATACCAACTGTGGCAGACACTGTTTCAGGCACTAGTAACACAGAAATGAACAAAACAGTGTCTGGTTTCATAGAACTTGCATTAGTGTGGGTTGGGAGGCCAGACCATAAACACATACACAGAAATAGAATATGTCAGATGGAATAAGTGCTACGAAGAAAACCAAAGCAGGTGAAGGGAGAGAGAGGATGGAGCAGGGCCTCTCTGAGCAGAGCTCTGAATGAAGCAGAGAGTGGACCCTGCTGAAATAAGGGAAAGAGTGCCCCACACGGGAAATTGTGAGTGCAAAGGCCATGAGGCCAAAGTCATTAGGAATAGATCTGGGGATAGGAAGGTCCTTCATGCTGTTTCCCCAAACTAAACCCAACTGGGAAATCGGGCCCAGGCCAAGAAAAGCTGCCGCCGTCCTTCCCAGACCTGGAGACGGTGCCCACACACGGCCTCGCACTGCCCAGGGCTCCTGCGCCCTCCATTCCAGAGACACCTGTCATGCCCAGGCAAGGCGGAGTGCCCCGCAGCCATGAAGATCCCGGCCTGGGCCAGGGGTTGCTGGGGAGGGGGGGACCTCCTCTCGCTGCGTCTGCGCCCCTGGCGTGAAGGGGGTGGTGCTCAAGTGGGGCAAAAAATCGCAGGGTTGGGAGGAGGTTTAGTCCTGCAACGTGCACACGTCGCACTGACACCTAGAAGCGCCGGTGCACGCAGGTCTGATTCTCCACGTGCCCACTGTGGGGCAGGCGCATCCGGGGCAGGCTTTCTGCCCAAAGTGCCCCAGAGCCCACGCCCACATCCAGCCCTCCGCGTGCCCAGGCCCACCTGTGCCCCAACCTATACACTTGCCCTGGTTCTCCCGCTTCACTGCCAGACCCTTCAGAGAGACACATCTGCCTTCGCGCCCTGGAGCCCCTGACATCCTCCGCCTACACGTATGGGCTCAACCTCCCTTGGGCCTCAAGCTCCTGAAGCGCCCAACCCTGCCAGCGCACGCTGCCTCTGGGCCGCGGGCAGCGTTGCGGGCGTCTGCGAGAGCTGCTTAGTTGAGGGCAGCAGGAGCGCGGGCGAACGCCCTGGCGCCTCGCGAAAGGATTTAACGTCTGGACTCAGAGCGAACTGGTAAGAAACGGTGAGGATGGATTTGATCTTTGCCCTCAACTCTTGGAAAGAGGGTCAGATCTCCCAGCACTGACTTCAGAACCCAGGTGCATGTTTCCCCACACTACTGAGGACAGAGGGACGAAGGCACTAGTCTGCCGCCCTCTCGTCTCGCCTGCACACGCCTGCACAAATGAGCCCCGGCACTTGCTCCCCCCTGCACCTCCCACGCTTCCCTCTCCCGTGCTCACCCCGTGAGCCGCCCTCGCGGCGGGGTTGGGGACGCAGCCCCGGACCGCTGTGGGGTCCCAAGGCGCGGAAGAGCTGGCGCGGCCCGGGCCCGGGGTACTGGCTGCTGCTGGCCCAGGGGAGTGCTTCTCCGGGTCTGCGCAGGTGGCTGGACTCGCCGCGACTGCTGCGCGCGGGGCGGTCTCCTGGCCTCCGCCTCAGCGGGCCTCCTGGGGTTACCCCAGCCCAGCTGGGCCCGCTCCGCGGGCGGCAAGCCCAGGACGGGCGCGTCCTGCTCTCGGAACAGACTGTACACCTTGGCTGCAGCTGCTGCGGGGTAGCTGCCCCCAGGGCGCCGCAGCAGCCGATTCACGTTTCCGCCAGCCGGCTCGTATCTCCCCAAGGGGTCCCTTTGGGCATGACCCATGCCCAAGAAGAGAGCCAGGGTGAGCGGCAGGAAGCCCCTCCAGGAGTCCCCCAGGGCGCGCCCGGGGCAGCGGGCTTTGGTCCGCGGCCTCATGGCGCCAGGGGCGGCTGGAGAGCGGTGCGCGCCGGGGACCGAGCGGAGGTTTGCAGTCGTGCGCCGGACCGCCCGGGGACTGCTCTCCCGACCCCTGCTGGCGGCCCGCTTCTCCTTGTCTAGGGGGCCCCCGAAGCAGCCGGCTGGCCCCGGCTCTCCCCGGAGCGACGGCTGGGCGACGAGAGCGGCCGGGCTGCGCGCCTGAGCCTCGAGTCCGCGCTCCGACTCCCGCCGGGCGCGCACGGCCGCCGCACCTTCGCGCCTCCTCGCCGTCGCTGCAGCCGTCTGAAGGGGAACCGAGGGTTTTATTTTTGGAAACCTCCCCCTGCTTTTTGGTCTCTTTTATCCACACCATGCCCCCTCCTCGGAGGGACAGCTCAGCCCCCTCGTTACGGGAGAGGGAGAGAGGAATTCCAGCAACACCCACTTTGGCACCGGGAAGCCAGCAGGCGGCGAGGGGGATTAACCCGTGAGGAGCTGGGGTTGGCGCAGGGCTGACCCCGGGGTTGCTCGGGCAGATGACTCCTGCTGGGACACGGGCACCTGAGCCACCTTTCTCCTGCCCTGGGCAAGCTCGAGCTGCTGATCTGCCCCAAATTTATCTTCTGCCCCGTCACCTCAGGGGCAAACTCCTGGTTGGGGATGACCAAGGCTGCAGCCTCGCAGGTCTGAAGGAGGCCGGGAGAGGTAGGGAGACCCGCGTGGCAGGAACAGGGCCCGGAGCACCGGCACTTGGCCCCTTCTCTTGCCGCCCCGGCCTCTGGGGGCGCCCGCCTCGGAAGCCGGCCGGCGCGGGGGCAGCGGCGGAGCGCACCTCCCTCGGCCGCGGCGGGCGCGCCCCCTGGTGGAGCTGGCCGCGCCCTTGGCATCCGCCGTCGCGGGGACCTGCCGCTGCCAGCCGCCGCTCCTTGATCTTAATCCCCTTCCTATGGCGTCAGGGACCAGCCTGGGCCTGGGGCGATGATGGCGGCTGCTGGAAGAGGTGACCTCTTTTTCACAGAGTCACAGACATGCAGCCTCTGGAATTAGGACCCTCACCTGAAATATCACCTCCTGGGGCGGCCTTCCCCAACTCCCCATCTAGAGCAAAAGGGCACACTCTCTAACACATCAACATCACCCTGTTTTATCTTCATTGCTCTAATGACCAGCTGAAATTATCTCATTATTTATTTTTTACTTGTGTAACTTGTTTAATGGGCTGAACCTGAAGAGGGATAATCCGGAAACTACTCCACTACTGCCTTCAACCGCATTATGGTGAATTTCCCTTCCCCACCCTGATGACATCTCAGGCAGAATCCTTGGCTTGCTCATCCCAACTGGACATGGAACAGCTTTATTTATATAATTAAGACCAATTTTCAGGCAATTTTCAGAAAATCTGTTCCTGTTGAAATGAAAACCTCATCCAATTTAATACTCCTCTCCCCCACAGGCCTGTCTCTTAGTTGGAGATCCTATAGTGCTGGAAGTGGGGCATGGTCTCTTTTTCTGACCTTCCTTTACTGCTTTGGCTCTTCTGTGTCAAGGTTGGGGGAGAGGTGTTAGAGGAAAAGTAGTGAAGTCTTATGTGACAGGTGCCCTAGGTTGGCAGGTGCCAAGCACTAGCTCTTTTCATGGGAACATTTGTGAGTTCTTGGGGGGGGCTCTCTGCAGGACCTCCACCTGCACTGCCATAGCAAAGCACTCTCTGGCCAGCCTCTTGCAGGCCCCTGCAGGCCCTGGCTCCCCGGGGATGTTTGTGTCCCCCTCAGGCACAGGCAAAGCACTGGTAGGATGGCTACTTCTCACCCTGCCCCCTCCTCACCCTGCCACAACTACTTCTCACCCTGTCCCTTGCTCACCCTGCCATGCAGTCCACTCCGCCAGCCTCCACAGTCAGAATTCTCCAGATAGCAAGTGCACACAAGTCTCTTCATTTACGTACATATTCAATTCCTAAAAACATATGTTGGAATGTTCTCCCAAGAATGTTCTTGCTGTACTTTGGTGCATTGGGGTGCCTGCAACGTCTAGCAACTTAGACAGTATCAGTGCAGAGATGGCTTTGGGGACCCAGTTTCCTCTTCTTGCAGATGACTGGTTCTCTCAGAGCTCTCTTCACTTGGTTTGCAATGCAGGGGGTACCCTTAGGAGAAATCTCAGCCCTGCCTGCTAATGCAACAGTTCTGTACCTCTCTACCTCAGTGACTTTCTTCACTCCCTTTCATTTGTGGACTGGAAATGAGATATGTGGTTTGATTGTTGATGAACCTGTTCTGCCTTTAGTAGGGTGCCAGTGCTTCTCTTTAGAATGTGAGAATATTTAGCCCTTATTGTTCTAGCTTTGTGGCTTCTGCAGACATTCTAAGAGCACAGAAAAAGTCTTGTTCAACAACCTGTAACATCATTTATTGTCTGACTTGCCAAGCCACAATGATAGCTCTAAAGGAATAAATATCTTGTTTGCCTTGCTTAGCACTGCTCCCCCCAAACCTAGAACAGTGCTTGACTGTGCTTGCTTACAGTACTTGCTTACAGACAGCCAAGAAATATGTGTGAAATGAATAAATGACAGAAAAACCTCATCAAGAAGGGAGGGCTGATATCACCAGACCATTTTAAGAGAGAAAAACTGAGTTCTGGGTGGTAGCTATTAGTCCAAGTTCATGTGCTTGTTGCCTTTAGGGCTGGCCCTAAAGATTTCCAGGATCTACCCCTTGCTTGTGGGGATGAAAGCCTCCTTAATTCCCAGAGTGCTCAGTGCTCTCCCTGTAACATTGTTCCTGCACAGCTGTGGAAGCCCCAACTTCACGCTTACCTTTCCCTGCCCAGATATCTGCCCAACTCTGTAATTCTGGCCTCCCTTCCTCTCCATGCAACCTGCCCAGTTACTGCAGGAGCTCTGCTCTGATCCCTCAAGGCTCACCTCAGATCCCCATAGGCCTCCCAAGGCCAGAAACCTTGGCGTCCCCTTTGTCCCTGAGCTATTTTTTCCTCCTGTGTGTCCAAGTCATTATTACTGCTCCGTCTCCTCCGTCTGCATTTCTGGAAGTCTGCCGCCCATTCATCCCTCACCCTTTGCCTCGGCCAAAACCCTCACGCAGACACGCTTCCCTCACCACCAGGGGCCCCTCCCACTCCTTGGTGAGTACAAGTGGTCTTTGGACATTCCCACCCCGTTCTCCTGGGGCCCCATGGCCCAGCTCATCTACTCCAAAGACTGGCATCTCCTATTCCCAGCCTGGCGCCATCCTCCTGTCCTGCCTCCTACTCATCCCTCCCTTTCCCTCTCACTGTTGGAACCTGTTGATGCAGCTCTTCAGGATCTCCAATCCCATAAATACTTGAGTTTTGTTTGTTTTTATTAAGCTGCCAAAATTTATAGAGCCTACTATAGTCCAAGCACCATGCTAAGCATGCAACATAAATTGGCTCATTTAACCATCCCAAGCAGGCATTATGATTTCCACATAGACAAAGGAGGAAACTGAGGTTGGGAATGGCTACTGCTTGCCCAAAGTGACATAGCTGATCAGTAGCAGATGTAGAACTCAAACCAGGGTCATTTTCCACGTGAGCCCAAGCTTTTAAGGCTGTGCCATCTTGCCTCAACCCTGGACTTGTGAGCCAGTAGCCCTCCTCACAATTGAAGTGGACGACCACCCACCTACACCACTGTCACCCCCAAAGTACCGCCGGTGCATGTTCCCAAATGCCCTCTTCCCTGCCTGCTAGTCCACAATTTGATTCCCTGGAGATGTGGGGTTATCAGAACTTTCTGCTCCCCTCGACTGTCTGTGCCTGGTAAAAGAAGGGTGGCCAACTGTTTCTGGCATGGCCCTGACTCACTATGTGTCACTGCCCCAGCCCCATCCCAGCTTCCTCCCTCATGAGAATGCTGCTAAGCCTACTCACCCATCTCTTGGATCTGGGGAGGAAAATCATCTCTGGAAAGCCCTGTAGAGAGTCCAAAGGGTTGATAAAGACATTCCGGCAGAGAAAGGTTTGCCTAGACACATGCACCACAAGAGGGGACGGCAGTCTGCTGGACACCCAGGGCAACCTAATTGCTTTTCCATGTCTTGCTGGAATAATGCTGGCAGCCAGAGAGCTACCAGAACCTGAACTAATTTGGTAAATAAGGACCGAAAACAAGGACCGCATTTCTGCTCCTTTTGCTGAGACCCAGACTCCTGACAGAATTCCAGGGATTTTTCTTCCTTGGAAGTGACTGGACCTCCAGCCCTGAATTCCTCTCTCCAGGAGAGCTTGTCCCCTGCTCAGAACAAATAACACATTTCCTGGTTAATCAGAGGGCAAAACCACCATAAGGAAGGTTGATTGAGCCCCCAGCCTTCCAGATGGGACCAGCTCATGGGCTTGGATGTTCTTCTCCAGACACTGGACAGCTGGGACCTCTTTACTGTGCAGTCTCAGCCTCCAGTTTGGAAGGTGGAGGCTGTCCAGAGAGGCCCCAGGTCCATCCTGGGTGAGGGATTTAAGGCCTGCAGAGGCTGCCAGGACCACTCTACCTCAGATACCATGGCCTGGCATTGTCCCCAGAACTCAAAACCACCCTGTCCTGGTCGCCCAGTGCCTGTCTCCTCTGGGGCCATGACATGCTGGCTGGGTGGTGGCAGCCATAGTATGGATGTCTATGCAGAGGTCAGGCAAGCTGGCCTGTATTGCACAGTGTTCTGGAAAGGTCTCTCCCACACCCCTGTCTGACAGAATGTTTCTGTCTTCTGTGGATGGAACTCAGGTCTGAGCTTCGCTTGGCTTCTATTTTCTCAGCTGAGATGTTTTTCATGCCACTCTCTCTGTCAGGGCAAATTAGAAAACCAGCCCTATTTATCCTGTCATGGGAAAGACCAATGGCTGCTACTCCATTTATCAGCTGATGTTTCTTGAGCACTTAAAATGTGCCAGGCACTATGCTAAGTCATTTGACAGCCACTTTCCCATTTAATCCTCACAATAATCTGACGAAGGAAGTACTATTATTTCACCATATAGCAGATGAGGAAATGAAGGCTCAAGGAGATAAAATGACTTACAGTCAAAAGCTAGTAAGTGGCTATACTGGGATTCACTCCTGGTTTGTCCTAAACACTAAACCAATGCTACCTTCCAGGGAAGGGGAGACCACCTCAAGCTGCATTTTTCTGGGAGCCAGAAGCATTCACAGCTGTTTATGCTGTGGCAGGGGACGCTGATGGCCACACAGAGTTGCTATCATGTGTTAGCCCCACACCCCTCACCAAGAGTAGTGTCCCCCTCCAGGCCTGTTTACCAGCCTGGCCAACTCTGAGTCAGGGGCAGAAAAAAGCCAACATGGTGAGTTTCAGTGAATCTGATTCCCACCCACCAAGGAGAAGGAAGGAAGCCAACCTCACTCTACATCAAGTAGTTTGCAATTTCTGAATAAGGCTCATTTCAACCTGCAGTGACATAAATAGACTGTGCAGCCCTGTGTGGTAGTTGTTGTAATTCCCATTTCACAAACCCAGAGGGATGAAGTCCCTTGTTCAAGGTCACACAGCTAGGAGTCAAGCTAGGATTCAACTAAAAAGTCTGAATAACTCCAAAGTCCGTGCTGTTTTCACTACAACACACTGACCTCCCTCCAGGATGACCTGCAATGATGTGAAATAGGCAGCTCTTCAAAATCACTGATTTTACTCCATGTCCCTGCATTTCTAGTCTCTGGTGAAGCAGGGGGATGATCTGAAAGCTCTGTGCATTTCACTATAAGCTCAGATGTCATTTCCTATTTACCTGCATAAATCCTTCAGTCTCTGGCTGGGGATTGGGGGCTGCAGGGAGGATCTTCTAGAACTCCTGGGGCTGAAGCATAACTTCTCCTCAAGCAGACTCTCTGAAGACCTGAGCAGGACAACAATGCGAGCAGGTGGAAGACCTCCTTTAATTCCTCCCAGTAAGACCACAGGGACTTCGTGAGCTCTAACGGGGAGAGGTTACCTATTGGATTATCCTTTCAACATCCCCAGGGAGAAAGTCCCGTGGGCTGGGGGACTGTGCAGGCCCATCCAGGATTCCAGAATGGCTGTGCATGAACTTGAGGACAAGGAAGAGACTTCCCTTGGCTGTCACTGGGGTCTCCCAGCCTTTCCCCATCTTGGCTTCCTGCTGGGACACAGTGACATTCCATATACCCTGAGGGATGAGGGATGTGGGGGCAGAGAAGAAGGGCTACTATAGGTTCCTTCCTAGAATAGGCTCCCCCAGGCCGGCTGCAAGTAACATCCCTCCCACTCTTCATCATCAAGGCAAATAAAAGGATGCCCTCTGCCATCATCTCCTGGCTCCATTTTGCCTGGATCATATGTGAAGCATGGGGACACTCAGTGAGGTTTGCCCTGGTGTCCCCAGTACTTTCTCTGTGTCCCCAATCCCTTAGGAACAGGCCCAGGGCCTGAAAACCCCCCAGGAAAGGGCACAGACACCAGGCTGAGGAGTGGGGGAGGGGTGAGGTGCAGCCAGATCCCGTGGGCCCCAGCCGGTCTGCATGACTCACTTCTTGTTTCCGTCCACTCTGGTCTCAGTGCCTTGGCCCAGGGGCCCCCGGGAGGTTGTAACACAGGCTGGCCCCTCGCCCATCGGGGCTCAGCAGACAAAAATTAAAGATCTCACTCCTCAGGAACTCACGCAGACAGCAGAGGCATGCTCTGTACTCTGCCTCACCAGACCAGACCTCAGCCCAGAGGAGGCTGGTGGCCAAGGGAGGAAGGAAAGGCGTCTCCAGCATCTCCACCCCCTTCACCCCTCACATCCAGTCGTGAAGCCTGGGCCACTGCCCACTCTCTTCTCACCGCCCCTCCGGTCCTCCGCCTGAAGGTGGTGGTGCCACCAGTATCTCCACATCTCCGCTCCATCCCTCCCCACCTCTATCCAAAGATAACAGTGAAGGTGGAACAGTCTGTGCCTTCCAGGAGAAACAGATTTGTAATCAATCAGCCATATGTTTTCTGGCAGCACAGTTTCTGATCATGTCACTCACCTGCTCAACAACCTTCAGTGGCTCCCTACTACTTTGCAAGTCAAGCCCAAACTTCTTACTGGGCTTGGCACACCAGCTTGTCTCAAGGTCCTCCCCACCATGTATGCTGATACTCAGCAGAGTCCCACTCACTCAGAAATCCTCCCAGGTTCCTCTCCCTGATCCCCTCACCCAAATGCCTTGGCTCACACCATTCCCTTTACTTGGAATGTTCTTCATCCCCCCACACCTGTTTTCTAACGCCCATCTCAAAGGCCACCTCCTCCAAGAAGACTTCCCAGACACCTCCCTCCATCTGGAAAGCTCGTTGCCTCCACCGAACCCCTGGAGCTCTCAGTCTACCTCCCTCTGCCGCACATGACTAGTCCACAGCGGTTGGGCCTGGAGTGGTGGGAAGAACATGGGGCTTTGTAGTTCTAACCTCAGCATTATCATTTACCAGCTGTGTGGTCTGGGCTAAGTGACTCTTGGAGCCAGTTTCCTCACCAATAAAATAGAGATCCAGTAGAATCTTTCTAGGCACATGGTGCCCAGAAAAAGCAACTGCATTTACCCATGACATAGCACTCCACGCCACAACGGATTGGACCAGGGTGAGCACCTGACCCAAGGGCAGGCCTTTCACTGGCCAGTCAGTGACCTAACACTTCTGTGGTCTAACTTAAATACAGACACTTTTGGTTGCTGAACAATTCAGATTCTCTCTGAAATTTGAACTAAGAAACTTTACTTTGAAAGCCAAGCCCTGGGATTAAAATAGAATAGGCACGTCCCTATTTCTTAGAGCTCACAGTCCATGAGGGTTCATATAACCATAGAACGATAAAGCCAGAGAGGTGACGTGACTTGGCCAGGGTCACACAGCTAGTCAGTTACACAGAGGAGGCTACAGTTCAGGTCTCTGGACCTGGGTTTGGCCCAGGGTTTGGTCTAGGTTGATTGGCCCTGAAAAGGCTCAAAAGGCCTGTGCCCTGAGCTGATTGCTGGAAGAAGACTGAAAAGCCACCAACCATGCCCTATGTCACCCTGCACTGGGTATTTGGGCAGCTTTGGAACAAAGGGCTCTTCCATTCAAAGTAGTCATTAAAAGCCAAAGTCAGATCATGGCAGGGAGCACAGACCCTAGCTCTAGCCCTGCATCTGCCCCCAGAGTGTCTTCCTGATCACACCCCTTCCCTTCCCTGGGCCTCAGTTTCCTCATCTATAAGAAGAAGGGATTTTACTGGATGAACTCAAATTCCCTGTCAACATTGAGATTTTGATTTGAGTAGTAGACAGACAAGGGGTGGGTGTGAATCCAAGAACTGCAGGGCTCACAGAATGTGCATCCTAGAGGGCACCTCCCTGAGAGATCAGCCAGCCCATCCCTTCAATTTACAGTGGAGGAAACAGGCCCAAAGAGGGAGAGATGCTTGTCCAAGGTCACATGACTGGTTATTGGCAGCACCCAGCATTTGAACCAGGGTCTCTGGCCTCCTGGGCCTTTCAGCTCTTTCTCTTTCAACTCCTGCAAGAAGCTGGGAGCTATTTAGCTGTCTGGGCCAGGGAAGCCAAGAGTTGCTGTGCATGTCAGAGCAGGGCCCCAGGGCCTGGGAACATCTCTGATGGTGAGTGCAAGTGCCAAAGCTGCTGTGGGAGAGGGATGGGATTGGGGGCCAGGGAGGGTGTATTGGATATGAGCTGTCAGCATCTCCCTTCTTCTAGCTGGCAGGAAGAAACAGGGAAGGGTCCATGATGATTGAGGTGAAACAATCTTCATTTCTGATTGAGACACTGCTCCATGGAGTGCCCCCCATACTATCCACCCCTGCCTAGCTGCTGAAACCTGCCACCTGCAACCTCATTCTCCATTGGTATTCTTAGGCACACTCTTTGGAGGGGCCTGGGATTCCTCTCACTGCCTGAGATGACTCTAAGCACCTGCTTCTAAAGCTCAGCTTGTTTGGCTGGGATCATGATACCCTCCCACTCCACAAACATTTTTTGAGAACTGTGCTAGGTGCTGGGAACAATGGAACATCTTCACTGCCTATGTGATGTTAAGTGCTTCAACAGGGGAATTAACACAGTCATTTGGACTCACTGAAAAACTGCTAATCATGCAGGCTGGGGCTTGGCTGGGGACCATTTCTCAGAGAGTCATGACTTTGACTTGAGTCTTCAAGGCTAAAGAGGAGTTCACTGTGTGGGGGAGGGGCATGCCAAGGGGAAGGCAGTGCGTATGCAAAGCCTGAGCTATAGAGGAAATACAAGTGGCTTGTGTGGCTGGGGTTTAGATAGGAAAGAGGTTATGGAAAGGGAAGGGGCTGGCAGGAAAGGTTGGGGTCAATTCATGGGGAGCTTAGCCCTTGTGAGCCCCTTCTCTAAGAAAGAGGGACCTGTTCCCACATCCAAACTACCAGCTGGCCCTGGAGTACACTGACTATTCACCTGGAATTCTGAAACTGATGTCTTTTGGTCAATAGCAAGAAGTCACCTGTGTGAGAAGGAAGCAGCATGACCTTAATCTCCATCAACCCACTCAAAACCACCCCAAATAAACATCCATCAACATAAAGCCAGTGAGGTTACCATGCTTAAAAACAGTCCCAGCCCTCATTCCAACCAGTCTGTTCCCTCACATGACTCCTCTTTTATAGAAACCATAGAACTGCCAACGTGGCAGGTCTGGCTCGGTCCCTGGGGTCCCGCTGCCATGACCCACCAACTGGACTGTATCCCTTCCTTCTCGACCCTTTCTCTAGGTACCTCTACTTTTCCAAACCCTGTCTGAATTCCCCACTTCCTTTGAACCTGGGTTCCTTGGGGTCAGCCAGGCTCCTGTCCCTAGATCTTACTCACTCTTTCTTGGCCTCAGGTTCCTCTCTGATCCCATGAGCTCTTACTGTTGAAGTTGCATTGTGCCTGGGTATCTCAATATACATTTCCAAGCCCACCAACTCTGCAACTTCCCTCATAGTTTTGCTCCATAAGTAGATAAGCCATATATGCTTGCTGTCAAACAGATAGCTGGCAAGTGCCTAGGGCATTTTAGCCATCACTTATTGAGCTCCATGTTGTCAGGCTTTAGAGGTGCCAAGAGGAATAAGGCTAAGGATAGTTCCTATCCTCAAGGAGCTTCCAGTATAGCAGGAAAGACAATACATATCATGGTGAACGCTGTGAGTGAGGTAAGCTCAAGGTGCAATGCAAATACAAAAACAGAACACCCAACCCAGGCTGTGAGTATAGGATGATTGGTCAGAGAAGATCCTACAGAAGACACTATCTGAGCTGGGTCTGGAAGGCTAGGCAAGGAGAAGGTGGAAAGGGTGGTGAGAAGGAGTCTAAGCAGTGATTACCAGAGCCAGGTTCACAAAAAGTTAAACCACATCAGCCTCTACCCCATTCCCTTTTTCAATGGGGTTCCTGATCTCAGAGAAATTTTGCCATATTTTTAATGATATTCAAATGAAATTCAGGTGCTATTCAGTGTGAATAGGCTGGAAAAATGTGGAGCCCATGGGAATGTAATCAGGCATATGTGTAGATGTTTAAACAACCACTCCCCACATTGATGAATGGGTGGAGGTCACTGAGGTCTACAGTCACGCATGAGATAGGGCTGTGACCTGTCCAAGACTTCTCACGATTTGGATGAAGTAGAAAAAAAAAAAAAGCATTTTAATCAAATTTTTGCGTGACATAAAACTGGAAGAATAAATGATAAAACTAGATGATAGAAGCAAGATATAAACTGATCTAGATAAGTTAAGATTTAATAGAGATAAGTGAAAAAGTCTTGCATCTTGGTCCAAAAAATATCAATAATTAATTTAAGGATAAGGGATGCTTTCTCTGATAGGAGTTCATGTGAAATGACCTTAATTTTTGTGGGGCAGACTATTGAACAGGGAGAGCCTAGTTCAAAATAAGCTAACAATGCAACCTTCCAGAAGGTCTTGTGCCATCTTGGATAGAATCCAGGGCTCAGAGCAGGGACAGTAACAGTGTACTCCAAGCCATTAAGACACAATGAAAGCTCTGCTGTCATGTTTTAAATGGCATATCACAACCCTGAAGCATGTGTAGGGGAAGATGGCCTAAGTGAAGAGAAATACAACCCAAGAGGAGAAGTTGAGATACTGAAGAAGAGAAATTTTAATGGAGCAGGTTCTGGCAATCTTCAAATGTTTACAGGATTATTGGGTAAGAGAGGAATTCAGCTTGTTCTGTGCATAACAGGTTAACTGCCATTACAACTTCAAAACAGTATGTTTATTTTTGCTCCTGTCAAGCTGGGGGTTGGAAGGGCTCTGATCCATGTGGTCATTCAGGGAACTGGGATCCTTCCATTATGAAGCTCCAATATGTTACAGAGATTCTTCCTCCTTCACACTCAGCCAATGGATGGGGAAAGAAAAAGAATGTGGAAGACTGCACAGGTTTTTAAAGGGCAATACCTGGAAGAGGCAAACATCATTTTGTCCACATTTCACTGACCAGAACTCAGGAGGCTGAGGAGGAGGAGCCCTTGAGCCCAGGAGTTCAAGTCTAGCCTGTGCAACATAGCAAGACCCCATCTCTTAAAAAAAAAAAAAGGAGAAACAGAAAGCATATTTTAGGGATGGCAGAGGGGTTAACAGTAAATGCGCCCGAGGGATCTCACTAGGGTGATAAAATGTTCTAATATTAATTTATGGTGATAGTTATACAACTTAGTAAATTTACCAAAACTTAGTTGGACACTTGAAAATGGTGAATTATGTGATACACAAAATATGCCTCAGTAATATTTTTTTAAGAGTTAAGCATTTAGTACTTGGAGGTTGGGGAAAGCAGAATAATCTTGCAAAGGAGATAATGGAGGAATATCCAAAGTGGAAAGAGGAAGTGGCCCAGAATCCAAGAGAAGATTTAAAAAAGGAAAGCATGGCCAACTCTAGTCAACACTACTGAGATGTCACATAAAATAAATAGGTAATAATAATATTGTGTCTGCCACAGTGGGGTTCACAGTGTAGTTCCAGATTCAAAATCAGGAATAAGAAAAACACGGGAACACAGATTTCCACCTACAGTAAATCCAATACTTGGGGTAGTTCAACAGCTGGATAGATCCCATTGCTGAATAACGAGCTCTCTGACACTGGAAGCATTCAAAGAGAGCCTTGAAGAGGCACTGTAGAAAAGATTTCTACATGGAAGGAAGACCTCTAAGGAGTGTTTGAGTCTATGAAAGGCCCAGAGGGTTTTCCTAAGATTTCATTATCTCTCTTTGCTCAAGATCTCTTTTCCACTCTTGGCCTTGGGCTCCTCATCTCAGATGTTGAGAACTTGGCTTGTGGGAAGACAGAATGGCCCTGCCTCCTGAAGCCCCAGGGACCTCACTGCTGTTGGCTAGGAGTTCTCCAACCACTGAGGGTTCCCGTGAGCTATGAGTTAGCTCAGGGCTTGGTGATCACACAATAGCAGGTTTCACCAAATCAGTGGAGAGAACTGAGTAATCCTGAGAGACCAGGGGGAAAGAGACTGAAGGGCCAGAAAGACAGCATGCAAGAACCAGTCTTCATTCTTTGCTATGTGCCTAAAGGCCGATCTCACAGCTGCCTTTGTGTCTCTGGCTCACACTCATCCAACATTTCCCCAGGGATAAGACATGGGAAGGAGAGGATGCGAGATGAAGTTCATGGTAACCGTCACAGGGTTCCTGAGATAGTAAGAAAAGGAGGACATACAGCACAACTATATCTGTCCCTCATCTCCTTGGGGCAAAAGGGAGCTGGGAGACCCCTCAGGTGAGTGGGTTCGAGATGTATTTGTGCAGCTTTCCCAACTGGGGCTGTTTGTTTGTTTCTTTGATACCCTGGCTTAGTCATCCACTTGGAATGGCCACCATAGTGTAGAAATAAAATGGACATTGAAGTTCTTCCTAGGCATTAGAAGAATCTTATTTTCAGGGATTTTTTGAAAAACTGTATGGAGTTTCTGCACTGCTTGGGTTGCCAATGGTTATATGACTAGTGTCCGGCATTGCTCCAGCGTGAACTCTGAGCCTTGGCAAAGGGGAGGGAATCCTTGACAGCTCCCAGAATGGACACGACAAGCTAGGGTGATGCCCTGTCACCAAAACAGACATTCAAGAGTCAATCCATTCACCCAACCAACATTTGTTGGGCATCTTCTATGTCCCAGGCCCCCTCACAGAGCTTGTAGTCTGTTCACTCTGAGATACAAGGAAATTGCCCGAGAGCTACAAGGGTAATGCCAACCCAGGTGGATAACAGGCTGGAGGAAAAAGAGCTCAGTGCATGCTTCTGAACCTGGCTCATGAAGTCTAACCAAACCCTCTTTGTTTCTTGTCTCTGGACAAGAATCCCAGCCAGGGAGGAACGAGGAAGGAGGGAGGAGGAAAAGACAGCAACAGTATGTGCTTCCCATTGTACAGATGACAATATAGATATCTGGATTGCTGCATGCCCAGCCATACGAGATATCCCATGTGACAAGAAACCAGGACTACATTTCCTAATACCATATTTCATGGCAGGAGGAGTCAGAACCAAGGGACCTGGAGTCACTATCCCAGCACATGGGAGAGTGACTCACTGCAGTGACTTCACAACCCACACATGTATTTCTGCGCTCACCTAGGCTAGACATACAGGCTCAGCTGCTGGAGTCCCAGAAAGAGGCTGAGGTCACACAGGGCAAATCCAGAGGGCAAGGCATGGAGAAGCAACAGGGGTGGACATTTATATGCCCCTGGGAAAAAAGTCTTGAAACCCCTCAGCCTAGAGGAAAAGAGGGAGGGGGAAAGGTAGTGTAAAGATGTACAGTGTGAAGGTGGGGGTCTCGCAGAACCTCGATACACATCAACATATCTCTATAACAGAAATAACTTACCTTGCTATGTATGACTCACTCTCATATTTTCTATTAACTCTTTTCTGTTTTTTCTTTTTTTTTTAACACCGGTTGTGACTCAACAGTGATTTCACAACCCACACATGTATTTCAGTGCTCACCTAGGCTAGACATGCAGGCTCAGCTGCTGGAGTCCCAGAAAGAGGCTGGGATAACTCACAGCAAAGCCAGAGTCAAAAGGGATCTCAAGTGCTGTCCAACCTGCAGCCTCTCCACTCCCCGCCCCCTCCATTCCCCCAACAGCATCCCACGTTGCTCCTCCAATTCCAGTTGACAGAGTGTTCCAGGCTTTGTCCTCTCTTTT